TATATACTATGCAACAAATTGACGCACCAGTAAAAAGAATTGTTACACAATTCGTCTGTTGTTCATGTACAATGTAGCTCATACATGCATCCGGCATATCATGATAATACCATGTTACCTGAAAATATGTTATCTAAATAATAGTGACAAATTACAGGTGCGTTCAACAACACATGCAATCGACCCAAAAATAAATAAATAAATAATAATAATAATAATAATAATAATAATAATAATAATAATAATAATAATAATAAAGAATAGGTTACAATACATTCATTCATTTCAGATGGTTAAAAATTTCTAAAAGAAAATGAATAAACACGGCGATGACAAGTCTGGTTAACCAAAAACCGCGGGGGACAAACTGTTCTACTCGATAAAGTGACTATATATATAAACATCGCCTTGTGGAGCACACTTCAGGGTTTGTCGTCGGAGTAAACTGTGAACTGATGGCTACAGTAATGGTTCATGGCTTGGTCACTGCTGACAGGGAAAAGTGTGTTAATTTCTTGAAACGCGTCTTTGGTGAGTTGCCAGCTTTAGACCCTTTTTGAAAATTGGCCCACGCTTACATCCCATTTCCCTCCCCTTCCTTGTGATAGTCTTGGGCAGGGCTTTGAATAAGTTATGAACTTGCTTACAAAAAAGGTAATAATAATAATAATAATAATAATAATAATAATAATAATAATAAACGAATAAATAAATAAAATTTAAAAAATCCACCGGTCCTCGACTCTCAATCCCTTTCTTACTCCGTCCCTTTCATACCCCAAATCTGAACACAACGCAGCCTGATTGATTCAATCGAGCAAAAAACAAACGCGCAGCCGTTTGTCAAAAATGCATGTTTACGTCTGTTATGGAAACTGTCTTTTTTAAAGTCGGGTTCACGCCGCTGCCGAAGCTCAAGTTCTCACGACTGTCTAGAGGGCAAAACCTTACACTTCGCCGCTTTGAACTTAGGTCTTATATTTTGTAGCACTCAGCAAAGTTTGCACTGAATCTGCTGGAGCAGGGGGAGCGCAGAGCGTTCTCATGGAAAAAATGCGCCTTTCTAAGAATCTGACATCTATTTCAAACGATAATTTTCGATTAAAACACATCTTTGCTGACATTTTTGAATAAACAAATTATGACATTACTTGGAAATCAAAATTGCGCCTTCCCTTTAAATTTCTTCTTATCTACTACGTATACATGTAACTACCAGTGCAGTACATAAAGTATAGCGGTTGAGGAATCACACACGTCATATTACAAGGGCAGCTGAGAAAGCTTATGTGTGTGAGAGTATGCTTTACTAACCAACCTCGGTCTTTCGTCAAATTTGATCGCGCGTTTGATACTGTCAGAAAGACTGGATTTCCATTCAGGTCCAATTCTGTCGAAGATGAATCGTTTCTAAACACGAATAGCTGTCCTCATATTCGGTATACATCACAGTGTTTCATAACTCAGTGAAGAGAAAGAAAAGAAAAGAAATGAACAGAGAAAGGCAAATTGAAAAAAAAGGAAATTGGAATTCGCGACAGCCTGGGTGGCAATTATGGAGAGATAACAGCGTTATCTTCTTTTGCATTATTACTACATTCAGTTCATTTTATAGTGGTTAAGCAAGCTATAAATATCCACCGATTTCATGTTCAGAATCTGTAATTTCACACTGTATTCTGTGCAGTTAATTTGTTCCTCACTGAAGTAAATTTAAAAACGTGTGTGTGTGTGTGTGTGAGTGTGTGTGTGCGGGGTAAGGAAGTTGGATACGGTGTTCTTTAATTTATTTATTCTTTTTTTTTTGGGGGGGGGAGGGGGGCGGGGGTGATCATTCAGAAAAAGACAACTTATAAGCTGGGGGATAAAACGCCAAAAATCATATCATATCATACATGTATCATATTATGGACATGTGACGTCGGGCATCTTTTGGCTTGGATCTCCGTAATATTTAAATGACTAATTAAAATTTAACTTAAAATAATTACCCATTTAACTTTAAAGAAGTCTGACTTCGCCACTAAACTCCCTTGCTTACTACGCTTTCGACATAAATTGGTTGAAAAATTGGATTGAGTTCTCTCTGACCCCCCCCCTGTGTATGTACAGTATGAGGTGTACATGTACTTACTGGGTAATTACAATGTGTTCAGGTCACAAGGCAGTGACCGCTATGGCCTTGTCCGTCAATAATAGATTAAAACTCGAAAAATACCTGAACGAGGCTAATTGATTCCGAAAAGGCATGCCTCCATGGTATTTAGGAAGACTATATTTAGATTGAAAACGTGCAAATTCAGTCTACCTTGTCAAATGGCTATTTCGAAGGTCGAAAACATTCCTCTTAATTATGTTTCCATTTCTTTTTCATTTGCCGGTAGGGCTGTTGAAATAAATGTATGTTCTTACTCTAAACGTTAACAGGAAGAGAAGTTGAAATAAATGAGAATTCAGGCGACCACAAAATGTCCAAAAATCAAAATGTCGGTATCAATCCAACGGCCCAAAGTGCTCGGTAGTTTGTTGACAAATACAGGTATATACGGAGTTGGTGGTCTTCAGGAAAGAAATGCTCAACTGAAGTGATGCCTAATCCCTTTTCCTGCCTCATGAATCATATTCAGAAATTGTCTCCGTGCGCATTTTCAAGATCAATATTTGATTGCGATTTTTTCGAAAAACTGTGTACATGTAACTGATTTAACTGTCGAATTCAGAGAATAAACCAGAGTGGATAATTAATTTTAAGATTCTAAAATCTTTTCTTTCTTTTATTTAGGGTTCACTTTGAGTGTGACAGACATACCATCTTTTTATTAGACTTTATTTCCCTTTGCAGATACAGCTGATTATATATGGCAAAATTGCTTTCCAGTGAACATGCCTATAACATCCTCAAGTGTCTCTATACTGAGAGTGGGGTTGTTCACAAAGCAATCCCCTTTCTAACCCTTCGTGAACCAAGATATTCTACAGAATGAGAAGAGATGAAAAATTTTACACAGTTACTTATATTTACCTAAAAAAAACACAAAACAAAAAAAGATATTAAATTTCAAAGTAAACACCAACCCGTTCCTCTCCCCACCATCCACCAGAATGTGTCAGAGAATAAATTAACCTACTTCTTGCCCTTATTCTACGACGACAAAACAACAGGTCCAGAATTAGTTTTTGAACAGCCGTACTACGAGCCTGCATTTGATCCACATGCTCGTAACGCACATGTAAATGTTTATTCAGCGCAGGCGTGTTTCTTGATATCTATATTTCTGTCAGTACCCCCACGCTAACACTGAACGAGGACATGAAATTCAAAACCCCAAGTGAATTCAAATTACTCATCGCAAACAATAAATGATCTTCAGTTTTTTTAAGCCGGTTGTTTGACACTGATAAAGGCACTTTTTTAGACTCGTTGGTTTATGAAGGATCTACCACCGTGGCAAAGCGGCACTATTTGTTATTGCATGAACTACTGGAACTAGTAGAGCACACATTACCATTAGAATTATTACCCCACTTACACTAGCAGATGATGGGTTTTGCTCAGTGGAAGGGGAGAAGAATAATAAAAAATTGATTTCTTCGCTGTGCAGATATTAACACAGTTGACACAGACAAAATTAGTGTAATTAACAAGCACATGAATAGGGAAATTCTCCGTTTGTCTCGTGGAGGGAGGGGGGGGGGGCGTGGAAGGAAGATGGAGAGGCGTGGGGGGGGGCAAGCTTTCGCCAGTTCACCCCTCCCCCAATCCGCCATTGCACGCAAACGCACAGAATTGCTACACGCGCATCTTGGCACGTGCATGTGCACAGCGCACAGTGAGCCAGTCAAGCATACGCACACGCACACACGAGAGAGGAAAAACAAGAGAAAGAGAGAGTGAGAGATTTCACCCGTAAATGTATCAGTACACGATTTATATTTAAAATCAGCCGTAACCAGGGGTTATTTATCTCGGCCTATATCCTACTGAAAGTATTTCTCTTAGCCACAGTTTGATTCATGCTTAATGCACCTAAACCTATGTGTCATATGACAATGTGATGAATGATTCACGATACTTGTACCGTATAAACTTCTCACCATGGTGAACCAATGTTTATAAGGTTAATTTCCGCAATTAAGAAAAGTCTATTTAGATACTTGCTGCCAGTGTGCTGGTTGGACCCCAAGAATTAGGTTGAAAACAAGCGTCTAGAAGTATGTTTGATAACTTTAGATGAACTATAGATCAAAATGTGTGTCAAGGATGATTTAACTCTCGTTATCACTAGTTTTTTCTTATTAACATATGATGGTTTAGCTATTTCTATTTGTCCCACGTACACAACTTTCAAATCAACCTATACCCCCAAATACTGTCGCTAACCTCGGTGCGGTCAGCTGTCGTGGAGAAAAATAAACTAAAACACCACCCACAAATTAAACAGCTTTCCTGTAAAATTCACTTGTGAATGCAGGGTGCTCTTAAGTGGGACTCTCTACCAGATGAATTATGTGCACTTATCTCTAATGCGAGCGCAGAAAAGTGCTCTAAATAAACCAGCGGCATATCTGAATACATCTTGTGAAATATCAATCTGTGGCCCTATATGTAATACAGGGGGCTAAATGAGGGGGGTGTCAAAACTCATTCCGCTCGGTAACAAAAGACGAGGATAATTCATAATTCTATCACTGGATGTATTGGAAAATGTGCTTGGTTTTTGTCTCCCTTCGCATGTTATACGTTTTTTCTTTCTTTCTTTCTTTTTTTTTTTTTTTTTTTTTTTTTTTTTTTTTTTTTTGGGGGGGGGGGGTACCTCCTAAACCAAAGGGAGGGGGGTGCGTGTTTTCTGTGCCCTCCCCTGAATCCACCATTATAATTCACGAGCCACCAGATAAGCTTATCAGACTTTTATTATATATATTATATATTATTTATACCATCATACTGATAAAAATGCGAAGATATAATAGATGCAATGAAAACTTAAAATTTGTCTTACCTTTTAATGTGACAAACACTACAATATACTGTAGGTCGTTAAGTTACACCGCGCGCCTCCCCTGCTAATCTCTTCCTCAAAACTGACTTACGTTCCAGTAGCCTATCTGTATGTACGTCTTCTTTAAAAGGAAGCGACTACTGTACTCAGGTAGACCCATGTAATCACTACATTAAGGACGCACAGGTGAGAAAACGACAGAAGGTGGCACCGATGCATAACATTTTATAAACAAGTTCTTGTATTATATCGCGATACCCCATGCAGCGAAGTAATGGAGTATGTCCGTGTTTCCATGGTTAAGGCAGCGTAGAGCATGGCAGACGATCAGACGATTGATGCCAAACGTGCGTCTTGAACGATAATGAAGTTACACAGCAGCGATAATATAGATGAAAAGCATATTACTTACAAGTGTCATTTGTTTAGTGCTTGAGTACCCGTTGTCCCCAAGGTCTTGCAGGTACCTTAAAATCTTCTGTATTCCGAAAAATTCACATGTAATGAGCTCTCTCGCGAGTTGAGAGGAGGTCCTCGATCACGCGAAAGCTTCTATTCTTTTTTTAATTCATTTTAGTTCGAAACACGGATGAAAACAATTTCATCGTAAAACCACATCCTCGTAAGACTAAAATAACCATATTTGAACTGAATGACAGAAGGGCACGTGGCTGTCTAACCGAAATTGGCAGGGTAATGATTTACGTATAATATATATCCATGTGCACTAGGATTATCGATTAATGTGTAAGTCATAAATGTAGATCTACTGCTGAAAATTTTAGGTGTACTGCTGAAATGTCCCAAAGACTGTATAAAATATACAGGGAGGCATGGCGACATAAGCCTTATGGGGAACATTTAAAACTAAATAATGCACATTCAAAATACGAGTAGTAAAAACATCGAATCCAGTTTCAGGGACGGGTCGAACGTAGAGTAAAATCATCTATTTTGTTATGGACACTCGACTTAACGGGAAAATCCCGGTCTGGCACTCCTTTTATCAATAGACAACTACATTTTAAAACGCGTTGTAAATCGTAAAAGTTTCCTCCCCATTCACTAACGAATCGGAGGGCTTTATAAGTATTTCTTCTTTGATCTTTAAAATTTTGATCTCACTTGACGATATTACCAAAATGCCTACATTTGCAGAAGCAGAATCCTGCACCTGCAATAGTTCGTCGATCTGGTCTTTGCCCGGAAAAGCACCAATAATTGAAAATACCCAGACGTCCCGTAGCGACACACAAACAAAGACTTGTTTCCAAACATGTCATAGACGAAAATAAACCCACGAGTAGAAATAAAACGCTTTATTGTTAGAAAATAATTGCCCCCGTAAAACAGTATAAAGAGGAAGGCGTGGTTCATTCCAGTCCGCAGTAAGGACTTCGTTATTCTCAAGGTCAGACAAGAACCTTGTTCAAATCATATTTAGGGTTATAATGAAGCACGTTTCAGCAGCAGTTTTAAAAATACCACTAAAACGACATGGGCCAGGCTTGGGGAAAATATGGGTCGTCGCAGCTAGTGCGGACCCCCAACCTTAACTTCTTATGTTCCTCTTTTCAAGTCAAAAAAACAAAGTAAACAAACTAAGGTAAATAAATAAACGAGAAAACGAAGCGAAGCCAAAAATACTGTATAATTGAACGGTTTATTACCAAAGCTTTATTGCAAAGGAAGGTACTAGTACAGCATGGCTCGAATGCAAATTTCAATATGATGTTAGATGGACGGCTTCGGTTGATTATTTTTTCCGTAGGCTTGCATAGGTTTTATTGCCTTCTCAGCTGTCTACTAGAAGTATATCTACAGCGATTATTAGACAACCCGGGGTTTTGTTCGGCGGGGAAACAAATGCAAAAAAGCTAATTGAAAACACAGACTAGGATAGTATTTATTTAATATGTATATACAGAGCAAAGGGGTGGAAAAGTAAGGTTTCGTGTCGTTTTACTTTTTCATTTTCATCTTATTTGCCGTTTCAATTTATTATAAGTGTAGATAAGGGGTGGGGACGAAACATAAGAAGCTAAAGGAGGTATGGTCGTGCCTGCTGTACCGCTCTGGAATCGCCATTACAATCTAAAGACCAGATCGTAACAGTATATATTTGTTCAAAAACGGTCTATCTGCAAAACCAGAGGAATACCTCATCATAGCAATTGCGCGTAGTTATGTCCCGACATTTTGACTAAGTTCTATCACATATTCTGTTAATTTATTTCTTTAGAAATTCCAGTTACCTGATACTTCACACCTGTGCATCGTGACATAAAAGAACTCCATTCCTTTATTATTTCTTACCTCTAAGACTGAAAATGTATTTCGACTACATGAGGTAATGGTCCCAGGAAGTGTGAAACAACCACGCTAGAAAGTTCACATGTACCTAAGTAGAAACCTTGCCAAAACTACTATACATACAAGGTATATTCTTAATGTGCTTTCTGTAATTGTAATTACATTGTATATAGTCTGATGTTTGAAACAAACTGTATATTCTTTATGTCAAGAACAACTACATGTACGTTTCTATCTTAATATACCGGTACCTTTGTAAATGTTTTGTCATTGTAATTATGAAATACACTTTTATGATTATTTTTATTGTTGTTGTTGCTATTTTCAATATTAACTTTATAATTATAAACACATTAAGATGAGATCGCATTCTAATCTACGTCGTTATATGTTCACTGGCATTGCACTGTAACCCGGATGGTTACTTAGTTTTTGAGCGAGTAGCAAACTTGAAAACACCGAAGACATCAATGGTATCTCATGAAGATCTTTATTTGCTGACGGGCTACAATCTGGCACGCAGGCAGGGACAGTCACGACGATCACCCGGGGTCTCTCTCTGTCTCCCTAACTGAGAAGCCCTCATTTTATAGGGAATCGTTCTAAGTTCTGCGTGCCCAATAACTATTACTAAATTTAATATGTGTAATTTATAGGAATAATAAAGGAACTAAATGTAACATACGTGATTAATAGGAAGTATGATAAAACTAAATGCAGGGACTATATTACATTTCATAGTAGCCCTGAACACGGATATGTTCTCCGGGTAGGAAGATTACATAACGCTCGGACCTGGGAATGGCCTCAACTGAAATTTCCCCAGGTGTAGTGACTGTTTTTGGTGGAAGAGATCAAAAGAGCGAAATGACTATAATGAGGCCAAAGTATTTCTACAATTTTAGAGTCGGCACCGGGTTTTCATTTTCTGTCATCTGAAAGGGGTGTATCTTCAATTACTTAAATAAATTACTCTACCGAGATTTTTGTTTCTAATTTTGGTTTCTCTTCCGTGATTGAAAATGTGATTTAAAGGCAGAGACAAATTGTATAACACTACCGTGTTATAGCACCATTAAAAAGACACAAGACCGACTTAGAACCTATTTACCAGGCAGTCGTGTAAACTGCTCCTCATAGACACTAAACGGCAGATCTGTTTGACAGGTGAGTTACGAGATTATCTATGGCAAAATATTATCATGTCAATAGCTGTTGGTAAATAATTCTGGAAGACCCAGAAGACGCCCTAAATCCGCCCCTGTCATTCCTTATCTCCGTTTCAATGAAAAGTTACAGGTGAATTGCCTTTAAAAATAAATAAAATCCTAAAATGTTCGTCATTTCGGATTATTTACATAGTTGAGTGAAAAAACCTCAACCCTTTTAAAATATTCAGTTAAAAGTCTCTTTTGGGGGGACTTAGTGTCCTAGACCAAACATACATGACTTCTCGATATCACATAACTGATAAATGTCGACTAATGTGTCTGGGAGTTTATAGACTGTGACTCGTTTCATGCCCATTGAACTCCTGCTTTTCTATTTTTATTGTATAGATGTCGAAGCAAATAAATTGACGTATAACTTAATTCTATAGCTCAATGCAGCTTACCTGGGTGTTTTAGTATTTTTTAATGTTATTCGGCAAGATCATTCTTCATTGATCTTTTTTATCCCGAATTAGTTGAAAGGGCTTTTCATATTGTGCACTGATGCCTTTATAACAGAATCCGTGTTTTCGTCGTATTATAGATCTTGTTTGCGTCCTGTTAGCTGTGCTGAATGAAAAAAAATTGTAACAGTGATCGGCACCGTTTAATCAATACGAAATATCGTTAGAAACCAAGGTAAAAAAATGAAATGTTAAAGAGACGCTATAATGTATTCCCTTTTCCTGCAAATCGTTGTGGAAAATGGGAAATGATATAACGACCATTCCGAAAACCAATCCCAAAACTCAATTGCACAGTAAGCGCTATGGAATATTTCGACTAGAATTTGGAAAACCTGATTCATTTATAGTCGTATTCTGCATTCTCCTCTTTCCCATCTGCACGACTTTTTCTAAGAACTACATCAAGATTTGAAGATTTGTGAGCATTTTGTAGAGATATATTGTCTACAGACAACACAGCGCCAACACACAAGTGTATACCATAGGGCCTGTATAACAGTATAACATCTAGCTTGCTAACGCGAGGAATGATTTGGTACTCGCAGAACATCTCCCTCTCCGTTAATACGTAAAATGTATATATGCAACGATCTTTAGAACTTCCAATCAAGTTTAAACATACAAGGGTCCTTCCACGTCACATTCTGGATTTTTTAAAGGGGGGGGGGGGGAGGCGGCTGAGGAGGCAAATCTATTAACGACTTACAGATCCGCGGATGAAAAATGGCCGACCCACTTCAAGGCTTACCGCCGCTCGCCACCAGGAGTCTATTCTGTGTCTATTAAGGGATTATGCAGCAAGCTTTCAAGCAGGGCTCCGTAACTCGAAAGCATCGCGAATTGCGACCGAGTGCAAGCGTCCCTATTCCATAACTCGCCTATACTCGCCCCATATAATACACTGTAACCTCTATGTGATATGGCTATTTGCGATGAGCGATTCTTTCGAGTTACAGGGCCCTGGTCCGCCATACTCCACGGATCATCTTGTTCTGAATACGCCTTAAGAAGATGGCTCGTTCCGTCTCGTTCCGTTTTTTTTTTTTTTTTGTACCCATGTATTGTTTTTTGTGTTGTTTTTTTAAAGACCGGACAGGGAGAGATAGATATATTTCTGAATCAAAAGGTAGGATAGCACTGAACTCACTGTGCACCCCTGTATCCGTTTTCACTTCACATGCACAACATAATAACCGTGCTACGAAATAGATTTTCATATCACGATGATTTTATCTTCAGGACACCCACCGCGTCTCGTCTTAAAATACCTTACACATTTCACACATTAACACATTCCGTTATAATATTCTCACTCTCAGAAAAGTGTCACAGAAGGTAATGGATAATAAGGTAATAAGAGTGAGGCACGAACTCGCGGGAAGGCTGAACGTTA